TCTTCTTACATTGACTATGAACTTACACAAATCTTCTTTGTCAATTGAATAGGATTGGAGAACCAATACTGTAAATTATTCAGAATTCCACAAAAACTTATTCAATATCCCAAGCAAAGAATACACCCTTGTGTAAATCAAGCTGACTCGTCTTTCCTTCAAAAGCTCTAACATAGCTCATTCCACACATCAATGGGCTCAGGCAAGCACTTATGCAGACAATCATTGATCCCCTAAATTTTTAAAAATTTGCACTTAAATACGCATAATTTACAATTAGGATTGAATATTATGTGTTTAATGGGTTAGCAGCCTCAAAATAGTCATCTTTAACTTCTACATGCTATGGGTAAAGTCGTAGGGGACTATTGTTTGATATGTTATGACAGTTCTATAACACAGACTTGGAATGCTGAAATTATTGTCTTTTTCTTCATCATGTAAATATTTAAATAATGATAAAATGACAGTTCTTAAAAATGTCAAAGTTCAGCTAGATGTATAATTTTTTTCCTTCTTTTGTTGTAAGTACAGGATTCAAACCCTATAGTTTTGACAATATACTATAACTATTTGGCATGTAATACAACAGAATGTTATACCTGCAAAATATTAGTATAGCATAATTAGCAGATATCAAATGAAAAATGGCCAAAGTACTACAACCGCATGCCATATTAGTCGACAATAACTAAGTATGATAATGATTCAATAAGCATACTCTTCACATTAAACTTCATGTATGTGCCTATAGAATAATCTTGATAGTCCTTTTCTGAACTTCTTTGAATCCTATTCAGATCTGCTAAAACCTCATAAACTGTAAGCATGCAAAAAATGTATGACAAAATACAAGTATTATCTAATGAAAGTAGTGGGGAGACTAAATTCCTAATTCACCACATTGCACTACTAGTTAAGTTTCAAAATTGAAAGTAGAGGAGATAAGAACAATGCAAAAGACTGATGTTATTAACTGGTACAACACATATCTAAGATCATCATCTTCAAATTGTCGCCAATTTGTTGTTCATGAATGGGCCTGCAATGTCAGCAAGCATGAAATAGCCATGAAAAGTGATAAGTTTGGAAAAGTAATTGGAGATATTGAATCCTTGTAGAACTTATCAAGTATTTATTCACAAATTCAAAACTTTAAGGTTGTTCATGAAAAAAATTTCTCAATGAAATTATTTTGACATGCTAAAATTTTCTATCAATATCTTAAAATTTATTTAACTCAAGTGTTACTGTTAAATCTCTTTTGAAATCTTTTTGCTAATATTTTACATCCAAAAAGAAAGGGTAATGAATCCTTGTAGAAATGAAAGCTTGTAACATAGGTTCATATAAATAAGTCGGTATTTTTTAAGAAGCATCTTCTCTCAATTAATTTTTTTGCTTTCTTAAACACATGAATTTAATAATGTAAAAAGGTTTTATGATGTAGTTAAATAGTTAGATTGACTAACAAATTGGTTCAGAAATTTCTTCCAATTTCCCCTTTTAGCGTCATTTTTTGGAGTTTATATTTTTTTCATACGTTCATTTTATGTTGGAGATACCGACTCTTATAATGCTTGTGTAGAAGGGGAAAGGGAGATTAAAGTCATCACATAAACTTTAGTGTTTTCAAAAGAGTGACTACATGGATCCTGATCAAGGTCTGTCTTGGTGCCCTATTTGATATTGCAACGAATGTAAGTTGTGTCCCCTATATTAACTAATCTTTTTGTTTACTCTGTAATATGACATTTTGCTGACAAATTTTATTTTCATTATTGTCATTTTTAGTTTAGGGACTTGACACAGGAAGAAGACTATGCATACTTGGCTTTTGCTGGTCCATTGAAATGCTAAGTGATGTTGAAAACACTGTACTAGAACATGGAGGAGAGGTAACTTGAGAAGCACATTATAATGCAGAATTGTATTTGAAACTGGTATTTTTGTTCTTATTTTTAGTCATATTGTGTAAAATTATGCAGAACATGTGTGCGTCAATTCCTTTTCTTGTCATTATAAAGAGGAATAAAACTGTCGATTGTAAAATTGCACTTTTACTTATATTTAAAAAGGTTTGGAACTGAGTTAAAGGATCTTTCTACATACTAACATTAACAATTTGATATCCCATTTACGAGAAAATATTCATTTAGAAATAAGTGTAATAAACTATTTTGATTTATATTCTTCTAGTACATTGAAAAATAAAAAACTAAAAATTGTTGAATGCAAAATTAATAAATCAATCTTACATGCAAAATATAATTAAGTCTTACTGTATAATTATCCTTTTAATAGAGATATAAGATTTGCAAAAAAGCGGTGCTCCTTTTAGGTCTTCACTAGGCTATCATATATTTGTTTAAACATCTCTATAAACTCCAAATTAGCTTAAAAAGGATTCAATGAATAAATTTGAGTGAAATGCTACACTAAATTATCAATTTTAGCTAAACCTAAAAATCGATACCACGTGCATTGCACGTGCAATTCACCTATATATATAGTGTGTATACACACACATGTATAATATATATGTATACTCATATATCTATACATGTATATATGTATGCACATATGTATACGTATATATATACATGTGTGTGTATACATACATATACATATTGTGTGTGTGTAGATACATACAAACATATGTATGTATGTGTATACATACATACATACATACATATATATATATATATATATAACAAACATAGGTACGTGCGTATGTATGTATGTCTGTGTGTGTGTATATGTGCATACATATATATGTGTGTATGTGTGTGTGTATATATATATGTGTGTGCGCCGCGCACACGCGTGTGCGTACATGTGTATGTCTGTATATATATAGAGATGCATATATATAGGGAAGATTGTTCATAACGTGACACCTTAAACGTAGCACCTCTTGATTCATAAATTAGGTTATTCCAATTAATAATATGTTCCATTCATCGTGATCTAAATATCTCAAAAACATAGTTTCCAAAGCGCTACCTTATATTGAATCTAAGGTGTCACTTTATGAATATTTTTTCCATATATATATAGCATTCCTACAGGCATGGTCAAGAATCAACGTAGAATCTTGCAACACAGTTTAAGAGGAGGGAGGTCTGAATCTTTGTTCTGGAAAGCTCCTATATGTGTGTGTATAGTAAAATGTAACATATGAAATTAAAGATTCTGAGCCTTGTCATAAAACCATGAACAAGCCATTTACTTGAATTCTAGACTAATGGCTCGAACAAAAGAGTGCAATAGGACACACAGAATACACCCTGTAGAAACATAACCAAAGTTTCAAGTAACCACGGTTTACTCTTGTATCTCAATAACTTAACAATTAGTTCAACTTACATAATAATCATACTTCTAAAAGTATGAGCTCGGGAAAAGCTTTCTATGGTCAATAGTACCCTTCACTATTCTGAATATTTCATTTAGATCTTAATCTATCATAATCATAATAATATCCTATCCTAATCACATGTGAACTACCTACAGGTCAACAATTAAAAAATAAGGTTACATGAAACAACTCCACGGTATTAGTTTGTTAAGGTAAAGAACTAACATGCTATGATCAAATCAAATCAAACTCCCTTTAAAAGTATGAGTTTGGGAAAAACTTTTCATGGTCAATATTACCCTTCACTATTCTGAATATTTTATTTAGATCTTAATCTATCCTAATCATAATTATATCCTATCATAATCCCATGTGAACTACCTATAGCTCAACAATTAAAAAAATACATGAAACAGCTCCACGGTATTGGTTTGGTAAGGTAAAGAACTAAAAATATGAAATATTACAAAAATAATCCAAAACATTTTAAAAATTGCACAAAATACCCTCAAAAAATTTTAAAATAACAAAAAACATCTTGCCATTTCAAAACTTAAATTAACAAAAATAAAATTTGGAAATTAACAGCATCCTCGAAAGAATTTAAAATCTGCAATTAACACCCTCAACGTTTTAAAATTGTAAAAACAACCTTAGAAGTTCAAATAATAAAAAAGCTATAACCAATGCATACCAAAGGATTACTGTCAGACACCTAAAATTTTAAATTTTGCAAAAAATAACCTCAATATTATAAAAATTGTAAAAAAAAGTCCTTCAAAAGTTAAAAATCACAAAAAAACCTAAAATTTCAAAAACCTATAATCGGTACATATCAAATCTGGAAATTATTAGCATACCACTAAAAGTTTGAATTTCACAAAAAACAATCTAGAGTTTTAATAATTGTAAAAAAACACCCTCAAAATTTCAGTGTTGGCAATAAACTTACCACCAACGTTTCATAAAAATTATAAGAAACTTAAATTTTAAAAATTTTAAAATACACTATCAAAGTTTAAAATTTTGAAAAACGAATCCTCAAAATTTCAAAATCACAAAAAAAGACTAAAATTTCAAAACTTAGCAAAGAAAAGAATAGTCGTTTGATATTCTTTCATTAAGATATATAAATTTAACTTCCAATTGAAGGTTCACTATCCCTTTTCAACATCTAAATGTTGTCTAATTTTATCGAAAAAGATAAAGGTGGAGAAAGATTGATGTCGGCTCAATAAAAAATAAAACAAAAGGAATGAAAGTCCCTATTTTCTAGATATTTTATAGAATATTTACTTTTTTAAGTAATTAGGAATCTTTAGAATGGATTTTCATGAGCTTTTTTTAGTACACTTGTATATACCTATCAAGTGAAGCCAATATACTAGTTTGCTAAAAGTGGAACTATCAAGTGAAGCCAATATACTCTTGTCAGCCCTAAGAAAGGTATTAAAAGCAAATCAATATTAAACTCAACTAATGATATGATTTGCATGAATGGAAATTTTACCTGCAACAGAGGTAGAAAGATGATTAATCAAGATACCCGTGGAACTAAGTATTAAATAATACATTAAAAGCAAAAAATGCCATACACGTGACGGTGAAACTTTCTTCAATGGAAGATTAAACTGCATACCTGAATAAGCTCTGCTACTTTTGGATTTTTGAAGCCAAACATCTCAGACCCAGGACTTTGAACGTCAAGGAGCTGGGCTTCAGCATTAAGATTGTTCTGACTTTGTCTGATTCGCTCATAAATTTCCTTCCAACAAGCAGAAGGATTTGGACCATCAATCTGATAGCAAGAGAGAAATCTCAGAACATACATAGAAGGGAGGTTGGAAGTGATAGAGACCTTAGAAATTGTTTAAATATGATTCAGTGATTATGTTGTGTTCACTATTGAAAATGAGAGAGAACCTCAGGCACGAGCTTCACACTCAGATCACGTTGAATATGTAATAGGAATAGGGATACAAAAGAGTATGTATATTCACAGATATATCCAACATCCACATCAGGATAGGATACGGAATGGATTTAAATTTTTGATAGTATATGGATAAGGATACATATATGAAATATTCGCATGTATCATTAAGACGATTGAAATGTCCCAGACTTATATGAATGGAACTGAGACCAATTTTCAATCTCGATGATCCAGTGTTCTAAGTTTGCCTTTTAGATATATTAAAACATATCTTTCAGAAAACTATTTTCATTTAAGCAGCTCTATCCCACATGCTCTACATATTTTTAAATTTATTTGTTACCTTCATACCTTCTTTGATCCATAAATGCTTTCTCTTATCTGATTAATATCATATTCAATTTTTTCAGACAAGCGCTACGGATTTCCCTATTAAACCATGTTCATTTTCATATTTGTATATTTGAAGGTTAATGGACACGTATATGGTAAATACAACGTCCAATCATGTCCAATCCATTTGCACCCATAAATAAGAATGTTCACATAGTTAGGCACACTCATCTTATGAAAATGTGCCATTCTACAGACGTACCAATAACCCTGTTGATTTTAGCAAAATTGGGAAGCTATATCCAGAGACTATTGCATTTTTGAGATGAGCAAGGAAGCAAAACCCCACAAGCTCCATTAACACGTCGGACAAAACCATGTAACTCTGAAAAACAAGTATGTAACACAACCCAAGGCATTCAGTTCGAATTCCGCTGGGATTTATCCTTGTATTCAGCTAATCCTACTCGGGCGTCAGTTGAGATTTCTTGACTGGAAAGAATCAATTTTAATTGAAATTGAACTCGAATTGAAAGAGGATTGGGATTTGAAAACCAAGTCAAAGGAGGACTCCTACATGAATTCAACGAATTTATGCAGTACAGAAATTTATCATCCACTGTCAACTTCAAATAACCTTTCAAACTAACAACATTTTCATGGTCAAAGAAATTAACGAGAGGAGAAGTACATAAAAGCAAGTTACTTCATTTGTGCATAGCAAAACCAAATTTCTCATTTAAGTTAAGGCCATGCAACGAAGCAAAAACCTCCCTTATCCTCAAAGCCAGGAAGGAATCTAGAAGGATACATAATAATACAGGGAACTGCATTGTCTTTGACAAATGGTTTAAGAAAAGAGGACAAAGAAAAAGATATCCACATGTTTTAATTTTCCTAACAAATTATTTTCCTATAAATACTACCAATCAAGGACATAAGCAAAGAGTGCTCACAAGTTCACTTCACTCGTGTGTCATACTCTACTACTGTTTCTCTCATGGATCCACACTTGCATTATCAAAATTATGAACTTCTCCTAAATCTTTATCCTTTGTAAGTGAGAAGGGAAAACCAAATCGAGAAGGCCAGAAAAGTGGGAAAAACAAAATGTAACAACTTTTTTCTTCTAATTATGTGATATTCCAGTAGGCACTACCTAAAAGTAAAATATAATGTAACAGCAATTGTTAGTAATTTACTATTTTTAAAAAGTTGTTCGTATTCTCACTCTATCTACCCCCTCCTCCCACCCCCCAATGACTCGACATGGCGAGAGAAAAGATACTAAAGTACAAAACGCAAATTTAAGGCACAGGAGGAGAAACTAGGATTTAGGGAACAATTTAAGTAATCAACGAAGAAGGACCTGTTTAAGCATGTTCTTTGTCTGCATGAAAAGGCCTGAGATTACCATGAATAGCAACGCTGAACTGGGGAAGGAAACCTTCCCGTTACATCAAGTCAACATAATTAGTGTGAGAATCATATTGCACTGGTGACCATGTAGTACGGCTCTTTTTTTCTGTTAAATACAAAAGTATCTTTAAAACAAAATTTCCTGGCTGCAACTGTTAAAATTGTATAAGGGTATTATCTGAGACCACAAAACCAAAAGGTGTCTTTAACTTACACCAGATATAGCAGATACTATGGAGTGGTAATTGGCACACTAGTCCCACATCAAACTTTCATCATCCAACAAAACTTTGTTGGAAGTATAGGGAGTGCATCTGATCAAAAGTTCCCACATATGAACGAAATAAATAACTAATTTTGTCTATGACCATTTAGATGATTTCAAGCAAAGTAGATCCATGCACCCATTATGCCAAACAGTGGTATCATACAGATAGTATCTAATTTTTCACTAATTATGTTCCAGGACCCTAGGGTCCTAAAAGGTCCTGCTGTTAAACTGACAAATTCATACAAATCAGATGTACAAATAAAAAGTTAAGAAAAAACAAATCTTGCTACCTGTTGTCCATCATCAGATGTAACCCGAAAAAGAGGCCGACTTTTAACTTTTGGATTCCTCAAAACTTCCATTTTATATGACGTTTCCATGCTTGGATCTGTGAAATGATAAGGCCTCATAAGAGAACAGAAATACACCAAGTTCGAAATAACAAAGCATGGTTCTAGTCGTAATTCTATATTAAGTATGCACTGATGAACTCTAGCAAAAGTATCACCTCTCATCGATGTAAACGTCCTGAAGGCAGTATATCCTTCTGGCCAGATGTGTTTCTTGTCATGGAAATGCATTGAATTACATACAACCTTTCCTGCAACAAAAAGCAAAGCATGATAATCAGTTTCACCAATTATTTTGTAGAAGTGTGATGTTTGAGCATACTCTGCTAGTGCAGTTAGAGATGTGCAACCAAAAATAAAACGGTATCTGTTGTGTAATTCAGTGATAAAAATCTTAACATGTTCAAGTTTTGAAAACACCTAAGCTAGTTACTCGAAGGTTCCCAATTTCCAGTGGTAATGTACTGTTGCATTCAACTGTTTTTTGCATCATATCTTCCCCATGATCTTCACAAGAGTAAATCCTTTCCTCCTTCTCTCTAGAATAATCCCAACTACCTTCAGCACTGTTGCTTTTTCGCATTTGCAGCATTGTCTCTGGAAGTTGTTGGTCCCTGAGATACCTGCTTGGAATTGCAACTTATAAAAACCATTCTTGATGAATCTGACTTCAGACCAACATAAATAACCTATGAAATATAAGTTGCTAAATAGAAGATAATAGAGGAAGAAAGAAGAACAAAACAAGAGGAAACAACACAATTGTAAAAATCACCTTATTACATCCAAAAGACACGAAATATGGGGTTTCGATATGAAATCGCATATTAATAATATTTTTTATAACTTCTACAAATGTTCAGCACTCTTTTCGATGGATCTAATAAAAAAAATTGGAGCCAAACTTGACCGAAGAAAAAGAGAAGATCAAATTCTATGACAGTTAAAAGTAGAATACAGCTTCTTTATGACGTTCATGGGAGTTAAAACGACTCCTTGCCTTCCTCAGGGGTGTTTCTTCTCTACCATTCCTGACTCCACAAAGAAAACCAAACCAAGAAGAACAAAGAAAATAGCATATCACTTTCCAGAGAGTAAATATGAGACAAAGCATTTTTGAACAAGTTAATATTCTATTTATCCTCCCTGATGCTTATAAATCACAATCTCTATAAATTTGAAAAGATAGTCTCCACATCCGATGTTACCATTTTATCTCTTCTAAACTTTTAAAGATATTCTAAATTTCCAAACTGAAAATACAGAATATGCTGAAACTGAACCTTCAATCAGGAAGCAAAGTTGAATTGCAGTTCGTTAGCACAAACGCATGCTTGCAGAGCACAATATCCAGAACAATACGTTACACACAGAATTTTAGTAAATGTTAAAACCAAATTTCCTTTGCCAAGAGGAACATCTATTCATATAACCAAGTATTCACAATTTAAAAGAAAAAACAAAACATAGAAGTACTAACTCTTTAGCTTCTTCTAAGCTTCGACCGAAACGTGTTTGCTTGCACTTCAGATGCAAAGAAGAAAGAAGACCATTAAGAAATGGAATAGCCTGCTTCGAATTAATCCTGAATACTCCAAGACAAAAAATATTAAAAGATGAGAAAGGATAACTATGATTATGAAAGATTAAAAGAAAGTGGCATGTACTTTACAGCAGGAAGCTGACAAGTCATGGATCCATATATAAATAGGACGATTTTACTTCCCAAGAATGATATGTGGACCTCTGAAACCAAACCAAGATTTTAAATAATGGATATTGGAGAAATTTTGAAAATAAACCAAGATTTTCAATACTGGATATTGGAGAAATTTTGAAACTAAACCAGGATTTCAAATACCAGATAGTGGGGAAATTTTAGACAGAAAAAATGCATGTCGGATTGCACATATTGGGAAAATATTGGGGATATGTAGTAAATATCAGAGTGTAAATATCAGATTATGTGCATATATAATATAATGTCCTAAAATATAATCTAAACATACTTAATGAGATATAAGCATATAAAAATGTAAATAATATATGTTACTAGAATTTTTGCTAAAATAAATTAAAGAAATTTGCAGAGCTATATTGTTTTACAACAAGCCATTTAAAAGGAGATATCGGCCAATATATCAGGCCTAATATCAACTATGTCGGAGATATGTTGCCAAAAAAATGGCCAAAATCGGTAAAGGATATTAAGGCTGTGTCATTTTGTGACAAGCATTAAAAGGGTATATCGGTCAATTATACAGCCTATATCAAGGATATTTAAAACAATGAACAAAACTTAAATTATTTGTCGAATGAAATAAAAACTGACAAAATTGATGATAGTATAAGCACTTAAATCTCTTGTGATGAACAATGAACCTTGCAAAATCATGTGTTCCAAAAAATTGTACAAGAACCGATTGATTATGTCGTACTAATTGTAGGACCCCTCTCTCTCCAATATTTGATTCATCAACAATGACAGCCGGCCACATAGCATGCCCTGTTTAAGATTATTAACAAGATCATTAACAGCGTATGAATGAGATTTTAAAGTTTTCAGATCATTCGATATAGTATTACACTAGAACCACCAGAACATCAATAATACAGTTTAATGGTTTGAAAACACTGTTATAAACTACTTAATTTCCACATTTACCATGAAATACAAAGGCATTAAAGTTTGACAAAACACAGTGCTAAGTATATGATCTCACTATTCTCTCGCACATTTCAAACCCACTTTGACTAGCGGTATTCCAGAAATATCTCCCAGGTTTTTCTAATGTTGGTTGGTTGGTGTGATTCATCATTGAGCCAATAAGTTCACTGCACAGAAGTGATACAATTTTAGTAAATATAGAAGGATGAAAGTAAAGCCTAAAAGAACGTGGATGAGGTGGTTTGAATATGATACTTGTTAATTGAATCAAGAAGATGAACCTTAACAGAACTAATGCACGAAAGAATTGTGTTGCCAACCAAAAGAAATGGTGAGAAGGTGTTCTGCTGTTCCTCTTGTTGATTTATCAAGCGACTCGTTTTTAGGTATAGCTGTCAGATGGAATTTCAAATTGTCGGGCTCAATGAAATATACTAGTCTTTATTTGGGAAGCTAAAACTTGGGGAAGTACTAAATAGTACTATTTTCAGAGTTAAGAGGCATTAGTTTATTAGAAGAACAGGAGTGTTTAGGCATATGCGCTTAGTTCCACATTGCCCAAACACAAAATCCTTTCATATTTTATTCCAATATAAAGGGACGTGGTTGTGGTCTCTCTCATTTAATGAAAATATGCAGATTTTTTACCTGTTTAACATGGAATCAGAGCCATGATTCTCAAAACCAAAACCCTAGCCACCACCTCCCTACAACCCTAGCCGTTGTTGCCCATCATCTATCGCTGCCAAATCCCTTTATCCCACAAGCCTCTGCCTTCACTAACTCCCAAACAAGTCCTAACCAAACCCCTAAACAATCACCAATCAACTTTCATCCCCCAAGCCTCCACCAACCACAGAATCCCAAAGCCTTCACCAAATTCTTGCTCCCAATCCTCCACTAACACAATCATATCCCAAGCCTCCACCAAACTCCAAGCCTTAATTCCCTACAATTTACTGTAGCAAAGTAATTCTTTGTTATATCCCTACATCAACAAGAGCCCAAATTCCTGTATGGTCTGCATCCTAAGAGAGCCGAACTCCTGGCCTCTTCACAGGTTCATCTAGAATCACCTAATTTGATCCTTATTACCTTAAATGTCCTCTCCAACTTGTTCTGATCTTTAAGCTGAACAAGTGGGCATTGTGTTCAATAATTTGTATTGGCATATTATACTGAAGAATCCTGCAAACCTAAAGCTTCATGAAAGGCTTCTGAGCTTAATTCTAAGGCAAACACTACATGTTTTTTACAACTGAAAACCTCTTGAAGTCTAATTTCTATGGGTTCACAGAGAGCTTTCCGAATAGAGATAAGGGTAAAACACCGCTGAACAGTCAGATATTCCAGACAGGGCGTCCTTTCAAACTTAATATGGTGAAACAGTTTTGCAACCAGAGTTGGGAAGCATCATGTTTGAAAGTACACGGATTCCTTAACCAACTAAAGAAACTCTTCCAAGATCGAAGAAAGTGAAACACTGGATATACAAGAAATAATTAATAGAGAATATCATGGTGCTTTTGATGAAATGAATCTAGGATGACAAGACTTACTATGAGAATAGACTCTTTAAAGAATATGAAACCTAAAAGAGCAGACATCATATTTGAACTTTAAATTCATCTTCATAAATGTAAACGTACTGATGCAAAAAGGAACATATATCAGCAAGTGTGTCCTGTTTAAAATACATAAAACGCAGAAAACCGCAGGAATAGACATTTTAAATACAGATTTTAAGATTACTACGGATACCAGTAAGCTTGGCCCAAACAAGATCGCCAGGTTCCAGGTCTTGGCAGTCATCAAAACTGGCAGCCAATGCCAGCATTTCATTATAGTTGAGTCCTTTCTTCTCCCTGCTTGAAACATCATACTTCAGATTCCAGTGTTGAACTTCTTCGGTAGATAGGTGAAATTTAATCTTTTCATCCGTAAGACTAAGATGTTCAACATCACCATCATTGTACTCAATCTGTTAATAAACTTAATTTCTATTAGCAACTTGATTACAAATAGGAATAGAATTGAGAATTAACTCTAAGAAAAGCCTGAATAAAGAACATAACTTGTCAAGAAACATCTTAAACTGTCATTTTTATGCAATGCAGTTAGAGGATTATGGCTAGAAGGTTAGGAAAATGACATGAATTTTACCACCATTATCTAGAAGACAAAATGCTGCATAGGAACCCATGCAAGCCATGCATGGGCATGCAAGCCCAATTATCATGTTTTTTGGTGCCCTAAGTTTTTTAATTGCTGTATTAAGTTACATACACAAAAACATGTACAGGGAATACACCAAAAGCATGCCAACCGGATGGCTGCAACAAAGAAAACAAGTAATTTTTTTACTCTAGAAGAAATTTAATTGTTAACAAAACATTGTAAGCCATCATGAGTGATTGAACCAGATATCTAAACAATCATTCCAATGGATATGCAATGAAACACATACACAATGCTTCCTTGTTACTGAATTGTACCCGGACACAGAGCCCTTGTACCAGTTGTCGTCCATTGGCCAAAACACCTGCAAATTCCATAGAAGAAATGCCACCTTAATACTCCTGAAATGTAAAATTAAGGTGTCTTCAATTCATTTTATCAAATATGTCTACTAAAAGTTATTACCTTGCAAGTCATTCCCACAAACACATTTGGCTCCACCCCATCAAAATCCAACCTTTTAACATTAATTTCCCACAATGTAAACAACAATCTCACTTATCAGAGCAATGATGAAAACAGCCAAAAAAACTTACTCAACCCATCGCTGCGTCCTGGAAAAAGCAGACGATGACTCTTTGGATGATCCTGGACAACGACCTCTACACCCAATATCAGACTCTTTGCCCTTTCTGCTCAACCCCCCACTTCTTCTTAGATGCCGAGGTCCAGAGATCCCAGAGGAATCCAAACTGAGAAGCTCATAGTTCTTCTTCGCCTTTTTTCTAGAATCGCCACCAGATTGATGATGATGATCTCCTTCACTTCTTTCATCACAAGGCCTAGGCTTCTTCTTATTGCGCCTTCTATAAACAAGAAGGAACGGCTCTTTCTTCACCATCATCTTTTCTCCCTTCTCCTCCTCCTCATCCTCTTCTTCGATGAGCTTTCGAGCCTTGACCTTTTTGGACATGACGCTGGAGGATCCGCTAGGGTTTATGCACGGGGAGGTGGAAGAGTAGAGGCGGTCAATGGGGAGGTACTTCATCGTCCGGCCATCGACTTCCTCGTCTTCATGCAAGAAAGCCGGTGATGAACCCAAGGGCATTGCGTGCGTTGATCGTTTCGAGAGGGGCTGCCTAGGGTTTTAGGACGAGCTATCAAATTGGGAGCGGATCTTTGAATGATAGGGGGGTAAGGCAACCAGATGGACTTTTCGATTTGCCCCCGGACATTTTGCCCTTTTCCCGCCGCTGGCCGCCGATTTTGCCCCTTCTTATTTTGGGTTTTTGCCTTTTAAGTCCAAAGATTACCCTGATTTTCCTTGAAACCCAACTACTATTATCGTATAAAACCAAACAACTTTGGTATTTACATTTAAACCCAGAGCATATAATCCACGATTAAAGTAGATTGTATTTATACCCTAACCCACTCAGAGCTCCTGTCTCTCTCCTCTCTGTCTCCCCTCTCTCTTCTCTCTCTATTTCTGTAAGAAATTGATCTCTTATTGAAATTGCAAAATCGCTCCTTCCTTAAAATCAATAGTAAATTTTCATCCCTCTCAATTTCCCTATCGCATGTCTCAATTTGTCCTTAAATCAGCTCTCACTTTAACCCCTAAAGTCTACATTTTCTCAAAATTGTTGGTGGGTAAAATTGGTCAAACCTTAGGACTAGAACTTTTGTCTAGGGTTTGGGCTATATATTGGGGTTTTTTTCTTCAACATCTTTAATCGTGTTGCAATAATGATGAAAGTGACAATACTAGCATCGCCATGTTCCATCTTCTTTGACTAAGAGACATTTGATCCAGACAACCAAATGTTCAACGATGAATTCTACAACGTCGAACTCCATAAGATAACTCCAAATGTGATCAAGCACTACTCAAAAATAGGTCAAAGCGAGTTAGGCACCCAAATCAAATTACTTGATTAATTGATTAAGCATCCAAAATCAGTCATCTATGATTATCTATCTTTTTAGGGCTTTTACGTTAAAGAATTCCCCATTATTTTTGCCTTCTCCATCATCCAACCTACCCCTAACCCTAAGGATTATGACTATGATAAGAACCATCGTTAATCACTAATCGTCATTGATGATCATAACAGTGAGAATGTATAATATGTGCATTTCTTTCCCCTCCTTATCTTATAATAGCGTCTAGATTCAAGGGTCTGCTTTGATTCATAACATCAAATCTACTATATACATGTTTTACTATAAACATCAAGAAGGAAAGGATATGGCATGACTTAATTTACATTTTAGTATATGAGCATATTTATTGGTGATACATGTATATGTGCTCAAAGTACGTGTTCATATTCGCTCCTAACATATCATCCTATTCAGTATCATGATCAAGATATCAGCTTAGTCCAATGTATTTGAATCATATTTCTAGTCATTGATGAGAAAATTTTTGCTCACTTGAATCATAAATAGAGAAGATAAAAATTAATGGACTCATAAGCAAGAAAATTTGTCAGTCATTTTATTTCCTATTTTCCCTCAATTACATAAACTTGGATAGATTATGTGCCTAGGTTTTATTTGAGAAAAAACCTCACATGCACGCATATACAATTCATTAATCAAAAATACATGTCCTGATTTAAGGTGGCAATGGTGTCAGGTTGAGCATATACAAGACATTCTGACCCGTATATGTTAGTACCTATAACTTACTCATTTATTTAGTGAGTTAACTTCATCCACACATGCTTAATGCACATCCACCCATGCTTAATGCACCGCACCTATAGCAACTTGTGTTTCTTATGCTAATTTGGTTGAAGGGTGTTCTTCATCGGCTTCTAATTGTTTGTTAGTCAGAAGTACATCAATAACATGATAAGTGTATTCAACTTCGTCTATATTATTATTTTTTCATATGTTTCATGATATAGAAATCATCGGTAGTAACCTTTCACAATTGTACTTGCAGTAGCTTAGAATGAGGGGTATTATCAATTACATACTGAGCATCGTCTCCAGTGACCTCATTTCAATAAAAAAAAGCTTGTGCCAAGCATAGAGCTAGTCTCGTACCTATGTTTCTGTTTGAAGATGAAGTATCTAAAGGGGGAGCGATTTTAATAGAATAGAAAAAACAGAAAACTTTTTGAAAGAATTGATGTGTATTTTTTGTGTATATAGATTCACGTACAAAGTTGTACATCTTTTAGTTTTGGTTGTATTTTGTATACACTCAATTTGAATATGATATGTTGATTGAGTTTACTGCAATGAAATATTACTTCGATGATGTGCATGTGTACGTTTTACAACATGTTATGTTTATTTAAACGTTGACGCAAGTATAGCAAGTTAACCATATTAAATGTGAAAGTATAGCTAGGAACTTATGGAAGAAAATGGACAAGTATAACAAGAAAAGGAACAAGTATAGCAAGAAAAGTCACAAGTATAACATGTATTTTTACATGTATAATAAGACAAAACGCAAGTATAGCCGGTACTTCTGAAAGTGTCAGGTATCGATGAAAGTACAACAATATTTCATAAAGTATAGCAAATATTGATGAAAGTATAATGTCTATTTCTAAAATATTTTTGAAGTATAGCAGATATTGCTAAAAGTATAGCATGTATTTTTGAAAGTATAACATGTATTTCAGAAAGTATAGCAAGTATTCTAAAAATATAGCAAGTATTACTAAAAGTAAGTAGACATTTCTAGAAGTATAGCAATCATCGCTAAAAGTATAGCTAGACAACACTGAAAGTATAGCATGATAAGACACAAGTGTAGCACAAATTGCTGAAAGTATAGCATGTATTTCTGAAAGTATAGCAGGTGTTATTGAAAGTATATCAGATATTTTTGAAAGTATAAAAGATATTTCTAAAAGTATAGCAGATATTTCTGAAAGCATAACATGTACTTCTAAAAGTATAGCAGATATTTTTGAAAGTATATCAGATATTTCTGAAAGTATAAAAATTATTTCTAAAACTATAGCAGATATTTCTAAATGGATAACATTTACTTCTAAAAGTATAGAAGATATTTCGCTGAAGGTACAACAGTAAAACGTGTATAACAGTAAAACGTATGAATACATAATTAGACCAAACACATCAATCAGATTATAATAGTACATCAGGACATCATCATCGTCACATACACACACAAAAACTTCTTTTGTGTTTGGGACATCGTCACATACACTGTCACGCCCCGCTTCCCAAAATACCGGGGAATCGGAACGTGAACAAGCCCGCGACGTATTAGATTAAGGAGAATAAATAAAATAATTGTTTCTCCTCAACCTAATATGCTAAGCGTCTGAAGATAAATACAATGCAAAGGCACATGTCCCCGATCACAGATAGTAAGAATATAATGAACAAACTCAGAATAAAATGATACATATCACAACTGAAATATCATCCAAGACATAATATTCGGGTCAAACATGCCCTTATACAAAACTGACAAATGAATACTGGAAAAAATAAAATACAATGATCAAGCGGAAAAGAAAATGCTACAAAAGAAACTAGGATCATCAACTAAGAAGAGGTAGATGCACTTCGGCCTATTCTTCTGTTTTGTCTGTAAGACACTTCTGCTGAGAATCCTCTGGCTCCTGGCGTATCTCCAAGTTAGACTTGTCCTTCCTTTAAGTCTAACGTACACCGGAGAAAACAGGTGTACGTCAGCATGCATGGCACACGGCAAGACCCTACAAAAGAAAAGAACGAAAGAAAACCCAATGCAAAAAACGATACAACAACAGAAATGATAAAGAAACGTGCAACTGTAAATCTAACAAAATCAATACAGTAACAAGTCAATCATGCAGCTAGTGATCAGAATAATCATCCAAGTAACAGGGTTATACAACTAGATGGAATTAATACTTAAAATTTTACAACTCCAGATGTAGTACGTCGAGTGAAATAATCCAAACAAGGAAACCCTCATGTATATATCATATGTCTTAAATTATAAATAATTAAATATTAATCCTGATCTATGCATGAAAAGAAATACAACTTACCTACATCTCACAAGAAATCATACCTAGCCAAGAAACGAGGTCATGCAACTAGTCATCCTATAACAGGTCACTGGTTCACATCTCACACAGAGTCAACGCTCATATTATCGGATAACTGTTTGTTCACAAATCCTCTACGTGTATCCAATACCGCTACACAAACTCGGTCAGAGGACTACACGCAATCCATTTTCAGCCTGGTCCGGACTTAAGCTAAACTCGGGTGAATATCAAACTCACGGACCAAAGTAGCGACACCGATCTACTTTGACCCAACAAACCAACCCCCAGTGGCAACACTGATCCACTAGTGCGAGCCTGGAAGATATATCAACAGTCTTATCCGATTACATGAACAGAGACTTCCACATCCCAACTATTCTCATTTTTCTAAATCATTAGTCGTATTCCACACTGAAACTCTGGTTTACCACCTAACTCAGTCAACACACCCACACATGTCACTAGGTCTGTTCATGATGCACAAGGCCACTAAGTCATGGATTACTAATGGTTCTCAAACACAACATGGACAATACATAGCAGACATGTCAAATACATTAAAATATTCACAAAACATGAAATGTAATCATGAACAGGAACTATGTAATTCAGAAAATAATTCATTTTCCAAAATAATTTCTTTTAAAATTATTTCTCATTATAATCCAGAAAATAATTCATTTTCCAAAATAATTTCTTTTAAAATTATTTCTCATTATAATCTAAAATAATTCTTTTTCTCAAAATAAATTCTTTTTAAATATTATTAAAATTATTTCTCATTATAATCTAAAATAATTCTTTTTCTCAAAATAAATTCTTTTTAAATATTATAATTTCTCTAAAATGATTCCGTTATCAAAATAAATTCTTTCACTTCGTTATCATTATTCCGAAAATACTATTTATCACACGACTATGATTTAAATCAATATTATTCAGCAAACAACCCACGCAGATAAATACATCACAAATAAACTATGCATATGATTTAAATCAATATTATTCAGCAAACAACCCACACAGATAAATATGTCACAAATAAACTATGCAAATAATTTATAAACAGATATAAAATTCATATCTGAGCAAGCGGGATCTTGCCTCGGGATTGAAGGCAGGAACGTTGCGAAGCTGGGCGAATCTGAAGGCGGTGTGGATCGTCGGAGGGAGCTCAGGGCAGTTGAGGGGCTGGTGGTCG